ACACTTATTTCAACATAGACAAAAGAACAGTGTTAGCTTGTAAAAAATACTAAGCAAAAACACTTCTCGTAAATTCATATAAAATATTTAATAAAAAACCTTGTTTGAAATCTAACACGAAAAGCTCTTAATGTAAAAATATCATATGCCACAGCTCACATCCATTCATCCATCCATCCATCCATCGATGCATCCTCTTACAAACGGTTTTCCTGGTCAGGGTCATGAGAGAGCCTGGTACATATCCCATGTAGCAGAGGGAACAGGGCAGGGGTGTTACCCTGCATGAGATGCCAGTTCCAGTTTACATGTGATTCCCTATTTCTCTGGTATTAGGATGGCATTAGTATGACGGAAAAACTATTTCTTCTGTTATTCTTCCTCTATTTAACAGCCCATATCAACGGATGAAGTGAGCTAATAACATCATTTTTTCACTGTGACCCCCACATCTCAATAACAGAAATGAAATGTAAAATGAAATGAAAATTTAATATTGTAACATTAATCAACATTATTGTACCCTATGTTACCGAACATCTTCTAGAGTGAGTCATATTATTCATCTGTGGAAATACATGTGGGAGGACAGTGACAGATCATATAACTGAGATCCAAGCTCAGCTGTCTCTCAGAAAAAAAGGAAAAAAAATATTATGCAAGAATTTCCCATTTGGACACTATGACTGTAACCAAGGAAACTGCATTACCAAAGCTACTAGAACTATGTCTCAATGTTTGGGTCTTTTATCATCATCATCATCATCATCATCATCATTATTTGTAGTAGTAGTAGTGGTGGTAGTGGTGGTAGTAGTAGTAGTAGTAGTAGTAGTAGTAGTAGTAGTAGTAGTAGTAGTGGTGGTGGTGGTAGTAGTAGCAGTAGTACTAGTACTGGTAATAATAGTAGTAGTATTGTTCTTGTTAACAATTGTAAAAGTCATTCAATTACTGTGAAGATGTGTGTTAATGTATAATTAGTACTGTCAGAAAACTAATGTGTATTGATGTGATAGTGACATTATTCTGGCAATCATCTAAATCTTATAACACAACCTCAAAATAAACACCTCCTCCGTGTCAAAGAAAACTAATGCTTCACCTGGAGACTAATATTCTGTGACAAAAGCAATATAAAGAGGATGCGATCTATCTAGACTCTTCTTATCCATTTCTCTGTTTTACGATAGTGTGTAGTAATTGGCACATTTGTGTATAACCGACTTCATTGCTGCAACCTAATCATCCTATTGGTTTAAATAGCTGCTAGTTTTAAAGTGCATAAAGGGAAAATAATGTGCTGTTCATTTTGTCTACTGTCTTAGGATTTTCACCAAAGAAGCCTTATTTATTTTCTGATGCATGTAGCTTATCTGTAATAACTGTGGGCGGGGTTATGACACAGAGGTGAGAAAAAATCCAGATGGTTTCCTCCAAACACTTAAAATATAAGAGAAACTCATTCATTCTAAGTAATTGTGAAGACGCGGAAGAGGAGACCAATATCAGAAGGAGTTGAATTATCATTTAGATATTAAACAACAATGACAGGTTTCAGAACATTTAAGAATTTGTTTGACATAATACTGGGATTGCAAATGGTGAGATTAAAAGCACTCAAAAAAATTTGCCTCTAGACCAAAGAATAAAGTGGTCAAAGTATGACTGTGTTTAAAAATCACTGGTGGTTGGGTACCCTTGAAAATAAAAAAAATAACAATCCTAAAATGACTTACATCAAAATATTCTCAATGATAAACTGCATTATGTGGGTTATGGGGGGGTACGGATGAGACCTGCCATGTCATTGTTAGTGGATGAATCACAATGTGGTGTAGGCTTATGGCTTAATTGTATTATTAATTATTATTATTATTATTATTATTATTATTATTATTATTATTATTATTATTCTTCAAGTAGTCTACCAAATATATGCAAAAACAGTCTTAAAAACAGGACATCTTTTATTCTACAGGAAAAAAGTGAGTCATCGACTTTTTCCTCCAAATTCAACTTAATGTACTATATTACGCCTATTATTATTCTTTAGCAATGAAAATATGGTTACTTTTTAAAGAAGGTTCACTACTGGTGTTGCCAATCAGTAACCTTAGCTATCCAGACTGTAGAGCAAATGTTATTGTTTTCACGGCAACAGCAGGTAACATTTACTGCTCCATAATAATGCACGAGAATGCAACGTCGTGCTAATAATAACAATAACACGGGTAATCAATAAACTTCATTATGCTGGCCTTACTTCTCAGGAGATAGACCCACCCAGTTCCAGTACATCAAGTGCATCTGACCTTTGGAGAATGAAGATCCTTTAACTATACCTAAATTATTCAAGAAAGGCTTTAGAAATCTTCCACTTGTGTAAATTTGTATATGTACAGTATTGATGTGAATATGCACATTTGCATAATTATCTAAATTAATGTATAATGCATACATAATTAGTTATCTTAACAATCATTTATTGGAGGTGACCAATAGTTATTTGTAGCACCGACCCCTCTGGGGCTCGCATGCTGAGCATAGGTAACATTTCAGTACAGCTGTCTTCTCTGCTGATACTCATAATATTCACCTTCTGTAGATGTACTATTAATCTATTTCTTTTTCTATAAGTATCTTTAGTTTGTCAGAATGAAAATAAAGTATTTGAAATATAATCTTATTATGGCAATATAATGTGGATTATTTAGGATGTAAATCATTTTACTACTTCTTTTGCTCTTCTTATGATGGATTTGATGATTTGTGATAGATTTGATGGATTTCTAGGACCTCCAGCACTCCATACATGTGTCCTGTTTGCCATCAGCACATCTAACTGAACTCATCAAGAAAATTAATTGTCACTCATTTTGACTAATCATCAATCGTTTGATTACCTCAATCGGGTATGCCGGCCTTGGAATGGAAGAAAAAAAATGAATGGAATAGTTACAAATGGAGGTTTGGAAACCACTGTGTTAGATAACTATCCAATTTCCAGATATTTATAAAGAAATATGGCCTCATGGAAATTATATGACCTCACTAACCTGCAGGTACAGGACACTGCGTGTAAAAGGAAACAATCCCTGAAAAGATAGATATTCTCTTTACTGTCCTTTTGCAGTGTCTTAAGTCTAGCATAAAATGAAAATCATTCAGTTAAAACCATCGACAATCATTTTGGAATTTATATACAACTAATTTTCTTTCAGGCATCCCTGAAAAATAAAGAAAGGGCAATAGGTTTTGGTACTGGCTTTCATTCTTTACAGCCAAACCACATGCAGCTCTGACTAAGTAATCCACCTGAAGCTATGTAGGTTTAGGCCTGGCTAGTACTTGTAGGGGAGACCAACTAGGAAAGCAGTGTTGCTGCTGGAAGAGGTGTTGCTGTGGCCAAGAGGTTAGTCTATCCTGTGCTCTGTGTGGATCCCAATGCCCCAGTGCAGTGATGGGGACACTGTGCTGTAATAAATGGTGCCGTCCTTTGGCTAAGACATAAAACTGAGGCTCTTCCTCTCTGAGGTCATAAAGGATCCTTGCGTATCCTTTGAAAGAGTAGACGTGGTACCCTGATATCCTGGCTAAAATTGCCCACTGTGGCCCTATCAGGCCTGGCCTCCTAATCATCCCCTATATCTAACTGGTGAATTCCCTCCTGCCCCTTCACCACCTTAGCTACTGTGCGGTGAGCGTACCGGTGCGGAACAGCTGCTGTCTCATCATCCAAGTGGGGGCTACACAGTGGTGGAGGTTGAAGTGGCTCCCCATTGCATCTGTAAAGTGCTTTGGGTGTTTGAAAAGTGCTACATAAATGTGACTTTCATTCATTCGTATTCCTGTATAAATAAATTAATATGACTTCAACTTTAAATCACAGCTTGCGGTGCCTCCTTTGGTTGTCAGAAGTAAATATTCTGATCCCATCATGGCAGCATTGCAACACTGCATGAATGCCAAACAAGAAAATGCTGTGATTATCTAACAGAACCCAGAATCACCTGGGAAGGGGGATGAAAAATGGAGAGAGTTCAAATGCTCCATAACAGCGTCTTCTTTTGACATGCTACTACTGTGGAGATTTTCACTCTGATTCTACCCATGTACCTTCCCTCCACAATCTCAGTTATTTTGTTACTTTTGTTTCTTGAGCTTATAAATACAGGCATCACCATGTGCTACTGTGGTCCACTGCAGTATGACCATCAAACCGGATTAGCCATTTAAACTACTTAACAAACTTCTTAAATATTTCAGTTGATATATGTACACATCTAAGTTGAATGTTTATATATAATGCAAGAAATTAAGATGAGCTACTTTTAACATGCAGCAAATCTTGTCATCTTTCAACCTGCACTTTCCAATACTTGTGATTGACGACTCAAACAAAGTGCTTCCAAAATGCTTCCTATTATGCAACTTGGATTGTAAAATATAGGCCTATCCCTTTCAGCAAGAAAGTACTGACCAATACTGACATTGGTGAAACATTTACTCATAGCAAAATTATATTTATAATGTGGACATCTACGACAACAGAATTTTAGTTATTTTAGTTATAAATTTGCAAGGCTGTATATTTCTAACTTTGTATCATGTAAGGCATATCAATGTGTAATTACACTTAAAGCCTATATTGGCTCCAAATATAAAAAGAAACACTGAAGCTTAAATGCACTTAAAAAAATCATATATATATATATATATATATATATATATATATATATATATATATTAGCCCCTATACAATGCTTAACTTGCATTATTATTTTCAAGTCCAAGAATCAATATCTAACCCAAAGTATTTTTCAGAAAATAGCATTTCAATGTTTCTGCTGGTTCAAGAATCAGTTCTTGTCGTAGGTTATAGCCTACGATTGTAATCAGACATAAAAAATAATAAGAATGAATCTTACAAACAAGAAATATCCGTCAATGCGTCCACTACATGAAACAGTATGATTTTATAATTCCAAAAAACCGCTTACCTTCCAAGCTCCTCTCCGATTTCATAATATTCCTCAACATCCTCCTGTTTGAATATGAACATGTTGATAGAGGAGCTTTCTGCTGCCGAGAAGCCGAACTGCTCACAGCGTTCCGCGCTCCATCTCCGTCAACTTTGACGTTTGTCAGCGATCACACCTAAACATGCACATCGCCGTTTTAGGTAAACGTGCTGCTTATTTTAGCTAAAAGGAGGGATCGAATGAATCACATTGCATCGTTATATCTTACAAAACGTGACTCTAGGTACGCGAACATCACAAGGTGATTGCATTATCATAAATCAGTTTTGGTAGCCGCTCTTGGCAGCTTGATCGGTTGCTTCCAGCACCTAAAAACTTATTTCTAAATGCGGAATATATTATGCCGTTTTTGGAAAAGCATCGCTATACCTCGGTCCACCTTTTTTCTCGAAGGTAGACAGGAATACCGAATGTAACCACGAACAGATATGTAGCCTATTTATTAAGTAGGTTGCTACAACCACATAAAATAAACACAATAAATAAACCTAAACATTACATCCGGTTGCCCAGTACATTTTAACATATTGCATGTCTGTGTATATTAATATAAATGCAAACTTTATATTATCTACGAAGCAAAATGACTGACCAGATTTAATAATAATAAAGAAATACCTTTTTGTAATTTGCGCAGCAGAATTACCATTAGCAGTAAGATGTGTGAGCACAAATCACTAAAATGAACGATGCCGCATTCATTGGAAAGACCGCATATCGGCTGCATAAGTAAGGAGTGCCGGCTTCACATGAATATTCCGACGTGCGTGCGTGTGTTCAGCTGCTTACATCAAATGCACTAATGGTTTGATCCGAAGCAGGCGGTCTGAAGTTTTGGCAGCAAAGACATTAGGAGTATGCCTTGCACTGATGAGCGGTAAGATGGAAATCCTCGATTTTTTCCCACGCAGTCTCCCAAAAAAAAGGTACAAAGGCGAGCAACCTCTTGTAATCCAATGTGCATGAAAACAATACTGTGTGCGCACGTATCATTGTCTCTCTCAAGTGTGAATCTAAATGTCAAGCTTTAGAATCAAGATGAACCGAATACAAGTCTGCAAAACCAACACTGCTGACAAATCAGTAAGTTTATATATGTATATATTTGCAAGGCACGTATTCGATTGTGTGGCACCAAATTTGTATTTTAGGATTACTTCCTTCTAACCGGTTTGCTTTAATCATCGTTGCACCCAGCTGCCCCCTGGTGGACGTTTTGTTTCCGAAAAAAAAATCTAGAACGTGTTAATCTGATGATTTTGATGATATCATTATTACAACTGTCACACCAACATTTCGTATATATATATATATATATATATATATATATATATATATATTATTAGTTATATATATATATATATATTTCATCTATATTAGTTTAACTTGACATATAGTATAAATTCAATTCATGCAGCTTCTGTCTGTATCAGGGTTGCAGGGATAGGGCCATGCAGCATTGGACACAGGACTGGGGTAGACTGGGTGGGATACCAGTTCCTTGCAGGGCATATATATATATAAACACCACACTACAGGGGTAAGTCAGGCACTTCATATAACTTGCAACATGACTTTAAACTGCAGGAATAAGCTCCACATATAGAATGGAGGTATGACTTGAAACCCAAACCCACAGGTGTGAGACAACAGCATTAACCACTACGCTTCACCCCCATACATTCTGTGTATTTTTACTGAAATTAACAAAAAGCACTAGGAAGTATATCACCCTACAGTTTACATAACAAAGAGGTTACTGTAATCTTACAGCCAGTATGCTGAATATATCATGTTTTTCACTGAAAACACTTTAACCTCAACATTTGTTTTGGACAGTGTGTGTGTGTGGGGGGGGGGAGTATCCAGAGGAAAATCCCATGGGGAAAATATGCAAACTCCACAAACACAGAGCAATGCTAGAGACCCCTTCCACCTACCATCCATAGCTGTTATTCAGCACAAGACCACAGGGAGTCTATAATAATTTGACCATACTTTGATTAATGTTCTCTTTCCCTAACCTAGTCAATCGTTAAAGGGGGGTTGTGGAGCGTCACACACACCCAAAAGAGGTCGCCTGTCCATCACAGGGCACACATACGCATGCACACAATCATACTCTTCAGGCAATCGAGAAACATCGATTAGCCAAACTGCATTCTTTGGACAAGTAAGCATTCCTTGAGGAATTACGCACGATGGGGGAGGACTTCGAACAAAAATTTACTATAATTTCTTTAAGAGTTAAACAAATATTGAGTCAAACTAAAAAATTAAAAAACCCAGTATATCTGTGGGCTTAGATACATAACATACATAATGAACTTTACTCATACAAATGCTTAATTTGAGCTCCACAGTAATTATAAGCCCACATACTACCTAATTAGTATTGTTTCAGCTTCAGAGGCTACCTTGTAATTGCAGTTTTACACCCAATGCACAATTTATAACACTGGTCACAATCTAGCTTAGTTTGCAAACATCTGGGATTTTTGTGAGGCATGTAATGCTTCATATTATTCTCAGAGAGCAACTTTACTGTTGATGACTACAGGCTGGTTTTATGATGTACATTGATAGGCGACACACATTTCCTATGATGTGGCAGTATAGTATGTGTCATGCCTTGAAGCACTTCATCATTAGGAATACATCCAAACGTCCAAATCACTGTAGTGAATTAAGGCTATGAAAGTGATGGTTCTTTTGTGACCCAGACAAAACACTGAGAGCTCAAAACACTAGCAAAGAAATATAGCATGGGGTGGCGCATATTTGAATTGGGCTAGGTTGGGGGCCCAATATGATATGCTTTCATGGCGTCCAAAATCTCTAATAGCAGGACTGTGCTTTGGAAGCAGCCCACATGACATGTGCAGGCCTTTCCTCCAGTTTCTCTGCTGTCTTACACATTGATCTTGTTGGTAAATGGAATTGTTCCACAAGTCAGTGTTTATCCTACCAAAACTCTGAATCACTGGATAAATGTTTATTAATAGATGAATGTCCTTTATGTGCTTTCTGTCTTTTTGCACATTATTCATCTAATCTAACTATCTGTAATCCCAAAATGGTCAAAATAATTAGGGGCACTGTGCAAACCTTTAGACATAGGATGATGAAGCTGCGACAGCTTTTGGTAAAGTAGGTGATATGTGTTGGTTTATTTATCCAATAAGATTGTCCCTGGATGGATTCTCCTGACTCACTATAGAAGGAATTGGCTTGTTACAATCAGTTCATTTTTTTTATACTCATATTTTTATATTGGGAAAATTAGCAAATACCATCATACAGGGCCATAGCTAGGATTTTTTACTGAGGTAAAAGTGTTAGCCCTTCCTTGGTGCATCGCATAATGAATCAGGGTCATTGGAGTTGTAGAAATAGCACTGACTTGACCTCAGTGTCCTCAATGGTAGTTATGGGCATGCATCACACAATCAAGGAATACTGGTATGTTGTCCCAGAAAGCTTTGTTAAGTAAACTTGTGATTAATAGTCAGTAGTTTTTAACTTTCGTGGCCATAGGTGGAAATTAGTGGTAGAAAACTTTAAACTGGATTTCAGAAAGAATTTTGTAGGGTAAGTTAGAGTATGGAATAGTCTTCCTGCTAGTGTAGCGCAAGCTAAAACCCTGGGTTCCTTTAAATCGGAGCTAGATAAGTTTTTATCAACTCTGAGTTACAGTATTAGTTAAGTTCTCCCCAAACGAGCTTGATGGGCCAAATGGCCTCCTCTCTTTTGTAAATTTCTTATGTTATTATGCTTTTATAGGCAACTCAATACCCTATTCAGGGGGGCTTTAGCCACTTTATTTTTTGTTTTCGGCTCCCTGAAAAATCTATATATCCATTAAACAAATTTGTCCCATATTTCCTGGGGGCTGAGCCCTGCTAAGGGCCAAATCCCATAGTCGCTTTTGGTTTTTAGCAAAGAAAAATGTAAAATAACAAGAACAAAATTCCCTGAAAATGTTTTCACTATAAAACTGAAAACGAATATAGTCTTCATTTAGAAAACTGAGCCTGCCATTTTGGTGTCTTTGATTGTTTGATTATACTTTTCTTGAGGCGGATCACTTCTCTGTACTGCACTGTTTCATCATGAAATAATACGGTAACTGCACTTGAAGTTGTAGTGACCACAGGACTGAAGCTTCGAAACTCAGGACAGAAGGCATAATTAAATCTGTCAGTCTCCAGCAGGTTTAAACCTTTTCCTTTTATTTACATTTTTGGTTCACTTTGGTTAAATTGAGCAGGGAGTGAGTGAACACACTGGCTCCACTCACACTGAATCTCGAAGCATCATTTGTCCCAGTAACTAGTAACTTGTTTTCCTCACTTCCTGTCTCTTACAACAACATCCTAATGACTGTGGTTACTAAATATTTCCTATAGGCGTGGGATGGGAAATAGATAATATCTTTTACAAATCGAGCTGCACTAAAATAAAGGTTAAAAATAACATAATCGGGCCTGAATTAATACCACAAATGCATTTTTGTATCTTATTAGTCCTGTTGTGTACATACATATTTAGTATAAAATCATATTGTTTGTATTGTGTCTACACTGAAAGAAAGATCTGTACAGGGAGAGTAAACAAATAAAAAGAGAAGGAGTCTTAGTTCTAATGTCTGTATGGATTTCCTCTGGTCCACTACTAAGACTATGTGTTTTTACAGCTAATCCAGATAGCAGAAGGGAATTGTTACTGGTATGAGATTTTTTTGTCTAATCAAACAAAGGATGCTTTTATTTCAGCCTTATGTAGGAAGGAAAAGTCAGAGTTTAGACTTGCCAGTATTATCGGTCACTAGTGGGGCATAGATTGTGTGTTTCCCCCACCTTGAGATGGAGGGGGACTTTATATTACAGAAACATTAGTTACAGTACCTTCATTAATGCACTTGTGGGTTTTTGGTATAATAATAAACTGAGGTTTGATGCACAGCACCATATTTACACTTGAAAAGAACATAGGTTGTCAACACACATATGTAACCTCCCTGAGAGAAATCAGTTGATGAGTCTTTCAGGGATCATATACAGCAGGGGTGGGAAATCTTATCCACAAAGGGCCGGTGTGTATGTGGGTTTTCACTGCAACTCCCTAATTAGATCATAATTAGAGGACTGATTGGCTGAAGAGTCCTCACACCTGGGTTTGAACAGCTGACCTACAGGTTATCCCAAAAACCTGCGTACACGCCGGCCCTTTGCGGGTAATATTGGCCACCACTGACATACAGGATGCCAGCTACACCATTATAGAATTTATGCATTTTACTTAAGCATTATGCTTTAGTAAATGGGCATATTTTAATGACAGCACATTTCTACGTCAGACAGTGATTATTAAATACCAAACAAATAAAAAATTAAAATTAATCTTTAACCCGAAACTGTAAAACCTTCAAAGACCACTGGAGGGCCCCAGACCATAGGACAGGGGAAACACTACAAGCAAAAGTGTGTGATTGAGGTGCATCTTACATAGTTTCACACGCTATTCAAGAAACTCACGCATGGAAGCAAATAAGTAATAAGTGCTGATTCAACTTATTTTAGACACCCATATTTGAAGTACTCTGTACCCAAAAGTTCAAAACCATACTGGAGTAATTTTACATACATGAATTATATTATCCTAGTCAAATTCCTCATAGAAATATATTAATTATGGAGGACTGTGAGTCAGAGCCAGATTCAAATAAAATAAATACTACAGTAACAGGCAGAAAAATAAAAACATGTTAAATAGTTTAAAAATGGAGGGAAAAAAATCACTCTCTGCACCTTTCAGTCTGAAACAAATACATAAATAAAATTTACTAGTTGGCCTTTTTCAGTGTTGAGTCAGAAAATGATGAACACACATAATTCCTTACCCTTTGTTTTACATTTTTGGATGTATTAATGAAGGAGCTCGTTGGAATGTTAATTGATAGGTAAAAACCCTTTGTGTTGCTTTTCATCCTACACAAAAGGGCAAAATATCACCTTGTAATAAAACTAAACTTAAAAATATGGCAAAATACAAGAAATATGGTTAAAAGATGACAGTTGGAA